GTGAAAACATCCACGATCACCAACGGATTTTGAAGGGCTGGACTGCTGCATGATGGAGAGGAGGACACCGCCACGGCCCTTCTGAGGGTGTTCGACTCTGACACTGACAATGAGGATTTCTTTGGTTTTGAAAGTGACAACGAAGGAGAGAAGTGGAGAGTGGATGATGAAGCCATCCTGAGCCTGTTTGTATCCGACATTGGAGAAGAGGACTTTGGTGTTTTTAGTGTGCAGGAAGAAGAGAAAGATGGTGGTGAATGACTGACTTTTCTTCTTGTTAAAGCCGTGTCACTGCACCTGAGCCTAAAAGGTAGTCCGAATCTATTTTTCTGGTGTGCTGTAGGTTACTGTTATGTACTACATGTGCAAAATATGTACCCATAACTTGTTTTTCAAAATATTAATAAAAGTGATGTCTCCAAACAGCCATCTCTTTCCTGACAATTCGCTTTGTGCATATTCTCTTACATATGATAAGTCAACATTGAAACACCTGCGGCTTTTAGTCAGGTGCGGCTAATGTATGTACAAAACAGGATTTTCCCCTGATTTTAGCTTGTGCGGCTAATATTTAGGTGCGCTTTGTAGTCCGGGAAATACGGTATATACACAATAACAGCAGCTGTACAAGTGTAAAAGTGTCCAAAAATCTATTAAATACGATTTTAAAAAATAGAATAAAATATACCAAAAAGTGGGAAATTTGCTGGGCCAAAAAATTAGACAACAGCTCTCACTCTTCATTGCCTCATTACAACAACCATCATGTTTGTTTTAATGTTTCAAGCACATCTGCTCTTCATCAGATAATGAATGTTGTTGGTCATGTGAGCTCATCACGTGAAGATGTCCATTCAGAGCCCATATATTACATAGTTGCTAGATAAATAACATCTCAGTCATGTGTGGGTGGTGCATTACACACTGTTAACTGTCTGAAATATTATTGAATCTCTGAATAAGTAAATAAATAAATTCATCCAAGAAAGAAAAATGTAACACTTGGGGGGTAAAAGCACTAAAAAATAAATGAAAAATGAAATAAAAAATGAAGGTTGTATCATTGTATACAGACAGCCAGAAGCTGAACCAGCCAGACATAAAAATACAAGGGATCATAAAAAAAACTAAAATAACATCAATTTATTGATTGAGACCTTTAGGAGCCAAAGTGTAAATCCAGAAGTGTTCTTATTGTTAGAGTAAAGTGTTCTCTCCTTGGGAGATGTACATGCTCAGTGCCAGCATAACTCAAGCAAGCCACAGTGTGATTCATACGCTTGGTGATTAGCAGCTGAACTTTCCTGATCATGCTTTCTTGTAGCACTCGATGTTTATGCCAGCCCACACAGACATTTAAGCATACATATCACATTTTGAAATCCAGGATATGAGTTAGAATGAGTATTCTTTACTCATTATATGGGCTTGGACTGCATATGGTTTCCATGTAATGTGATCATGTGACCAGCAGCATTTGATCTAAGGTGCCTCTATTCTGTGTATTGCTGTCTGAAGGGCAGGTCTGTTTGTTACAACTACCCGAGGTGTGTGAGCTAAAATGGTAAATGTGCTTATCAGAAAAGTGTTTGATATCATTCAAATGAGAAGTAGGGTCATTTTCTGACTCCTGTGGGATCTAACCTGCTGTAGTCAGAGGAGTGGCTCCCTTACTGACGACTAGAAAAACCGCAGGTTTACGACATTTTTACATCTGTACGCTGCTTCGATTATGCGCACACAACTAATGACAACACAATGACACATGTAAAATAAGTGAGCGTTATAATTCATCCATTAGATTTCAGCCAGTCACAAAGCAATAAATCTAAGCTAGATGAGCTGAGAGATATGAGGCGATGGTTACTGATTTATACTGAAACCTTTTAACCTTTTTTTCCTGTAAAAGTAAATGGTAGAAAAAGAAATTAATATTTTGTAAAAAATTATCAATCATTTTATTTGTTCCTAAAAACATGTTTTTTACCAATGGTAAAAGATAAATCATGGTAAAAATGGTCAGGATTGATACATTTCAGTTTGTAACACAGGAGCAAATTTTCATTTTGTACACACACACACACACACACACACACACACACACACACACACACACACACACACACACACACAGTTTCACCAGTTGTTTAAACAGCCCACCGACCCCTCATAACCTGCAGTCTGTGGACAGGAGGGTGAGTAGGCTTTGCTTGGCTGTAAAAGGTCTAAAGCCACAAAGCTTGGAAACGACTTTTCTGCACCATCTGTTGTCATAACCTGCTCGCCATCGTGTGTGCCTCCTTCTGTCCCTCTCAGACCGAATCGCCCAGAACAGGAAGACTATCGTATGCCCGATGATTGATGTCATCGACCACGACAACTTTGGCTATGAAACACAGGCGGGCGACGCCATGCGAGGGGCGTTTGACTGGGAAATGTATTACAAGCGGATCCCGATCCCCACAGAGCTGCAGAAGGACGACCCCAGTGAACCCTTTGAGTGAGTGACTCTGATACTTGGTTAGGGATTTTTTTTTTTTATACCCATTATCTGATTGTGCCATGACTAAATGCATGCATCTGTTCCATGGGTGACCCCAGTGGGACTTAAAGCTTTTCAACTGGGTTTGTCTGAGCTGTGCACCTCTGAATGATTTACACCACACCGTGTTTATTCACTGAAGGTCTTTGTCGGCACTGCTATGCTCATACACGCGTTTACACCTGAGTGTTGCATAGGATGGATACTAAAGCACTCGACTACTGCCCCATTAAGCTGCAAAACATGAAAATGAATTCCATTTCCAAAGTGGATAAATGCCAAAATCCCAGTCTTACATTCCAGAGTGTACAGAGAAATGGAAGCTTTCTCGGATTTCAATGAACGAGTGTGGCGGTGAAGTGAAGCTGCCAGCTCGCTGTCTTAAATGTTGTCTCTGATTTTTAATGCCAGTACAATATCTATATCAAAAGCTATGTCATTATAAAAGACTGATTATGTTGCAGCACTGAACTATGACTTACTTGGTTTTTCTTGTCAGGTAGGGTTTATGAGTGGGAAAAGAGCGACATTCAGCTATTTTTATATTATTTTGCTACTTCAGTTAGGGCAGAGCTCTTCAAGAAATTACTTAACCTTTACTTTTAGCTGCTATTGTATTAGCTTTTATGCAGCAATAGCTTAAAAACAGATCTATGTAGATCTGTGAGTTCTAGAGTTAAAACAATTTAGAGATCGGTGGATATTTAGGTCATTTCACAGTCACCTCATGTTTTATACAGCATGACAATTCCAAAAAATGCAGTTTGTCAAATGGCCTCAAACTAAGTCAAACTCTAGCTAATAAGACGAAACTTTATAAAAATGAAATGGGAAGTGATTCATTTATTTATTTTTCTAACTCAGCCATATAGAGATATTGAGAGACGGGTGCCTTCGCTGGGCTGCAGCTCAGCTTATTCAAGTCATTAGGTCCACTTCCAACAAACACAGTTGGAAGTGGACCTTCCAACTGCGTTTGTGCTATTTGGAGCATTTGTAATGCAGTTGTCTGGCAAATCATGTGGCCCACTGTGTGGTTAATTGTACTAAAAACCCACTGAAAATGTCTATGCTTCAGGTTTGGTGAGTGAAATTCTACCCAATTATTTGTACCTGCAGTAATTAGCAGGTATTGGTGTCTGTGTTGGACCCATGTGGTGCCTGGGTGCTCTTTGCACTAATTGACATTGCTAGCTTAGATGATAACTGGCACTCGACTAGGGCTGGGCCATATCATACTGTTCACGGTAATACTGGTATAATGTTGGGCAAAGATAAGAAAATGAAATATCGCGATAGAATATGGGTAAAACGCGCAGGCGCAGTGCCTTTGTTTTCATACGCACATGGCGGAAAAAGCATGGCAGCGATGGAGAATGAGAAGGGCGAAAGTGGATCGTTGAATGAAACGGATGAACCAGAATTGGTTTGTAAAAATGCTCCAACTTCAGTGGTGTGGAACTGGTTTAGCTTTCGTCCGTCAGATACACAACAAAGCACTATTTTTGGTAGAGCATGCTAGCGGGCCGTTGTTGTTACCGTATTTTTTTTGAAAAATACAGCGCACTTAAAATCAATCCTTTAATTTTTCTGAAAATCGACAGTGCCCCTTATAATCCCGTGTGCCTTATGTATGACTTCTGGTTGTGTTTACTGACCTCGAAACGATTTTATGTACACGGCGCTCAAAAATCTGTCAAATGTTTCAGTACGACTTTGCTGAGCTACGAAGCCGCACCGCGGCGTAATTGTCGGAGCATTACGGCTGTCATAGGCAGGCGCCTCGCGGAGTGATACGTACTGTGCTTCAACATAATGTTACCGTATTGTGTGTGTATAACCTCTTTTTAAGTTTTGTGCATATTACACATGGTTATGCTGAGGATGTGTCGGCCAGTTTCCACTGGAAACGCCTTTTGGTTAAACTGTCAGCGAGGAATTTGCATTTGCACTGTTACATTTTTATATAACTTTAATGCACATAAAAAAAAAAAAAACAGCTGCTTGTTTAAGTGAAAATACATTGATGTTTTTTGTTTTGTTTTTGTTTTTTGCACCAATAAAGTTGAGGAGTTGTAAAGTATTTTGTCTAGTGTGAATTATGTCGTCAGTTATATCGTTATCGCAAATTTTCAAATGTATATCGTGATAAATATTTTTGGTCATATCGCCCTGCTCTACACTCGACCCTCTCCCTTAAAAGCAGGATCCTAAAAAAACAAACAAAAAACATATTGGTGATGACCACGATGCTGAAAGTGAACATCACAACCCAATGAGTGACATCATTGTGACTACAGTTGTCCCTCATATGGAGTTTTTTTAAATTGTTTATGTTGACGTTTCAAGCTGTTGGTTGGACAGAATGAGCTGAGACATTTTTGTGTGTGTGTTGTTATTTTTTGATAATTTGTGAGTCTCTTGTTTAAATGATTGGCTGCACATGTAGTTAACCATTTGAGTGTTGTCTATAAAGTTTCTTTTAAACAAAGATCAGTCACAGATTAATGTGTTTACAGTGTCATTGGATATTATTGGAATGTTTTGACCTTACAATATAAAGTGCCTTGAGGCCACTTTTGTTGAATTGATTCCCCGGCAACACTGCCTCTCTGCAAAGAAGCCTAATAGGTTTTTGCCATACTTTCTTCCCCTTTCTGTACCTTTTAAGTAATGGATGCTGAAATAAATAAATAAATAACCAAATAACTGCATGGGATGCCAAACACTCCATTTGTGAGCTTTGAGGGATTAGTTAGACATTTGTCTATGTTTGGATGCCAGAGAATATTTGACTATCCTGGGGAAATGCTGTAGGCATGATCAGGCGGTGATGCAGGAGGATAAGAAACTAAAGAAGAAATGAGCTGCAGAACAATCAGAATCAATCCTCATTTCGTGAATTAGTCTGCTCTTCTTACCCAATGAAATGACCTTCATCAGTGCAAATCCAATTTGAGTCGCAAAGATTTTCATTTTCACTCTGACATTGCAGCAGTGGAGAACGAGGCATGGTGGGCTGGCAAAATCCATCTCGGAGGTGTGCGTGCGTGTGTGTTTGAGGGTAATGGAGTATGATTTTTATCCCCGTCCTCATACCTCTGTCACTGTCCCTGTCCCTTTTGTTAATGCCATCAACACTCCCTTCATTTGTCTCTTCCCCCCCCCGCTCTCTGTCTCTCTCTCTCTGCTTCTTTAAGTTTCATTTAGCAGTTAGCTCAGGCTAACAAGGTCAGTAGACTGAAATGGAGAATATCAACTTGAGCATTTGTAGTTTAATCTCAGTTGTTTGTTAGAAAGACCTGGACCATGCTGTCCTTTACCTCAAATACACCCAGAGATTCTGTTCCTTTGTAGGAATTGATACTTTGTCTGAGAAGATGGTCTAAAACGAGCAAACTTACCATTCATCAGTTGCAGTTAAAACAATAAATAAAAGTACAAAACTAACAGGACAATAAATATAATTTTCACAGGTCTGACAAATGCTGTTAACAACTTTGCCAAAATCAAATGTAACTTAAAGGTTATGAAATCATGATTTAATTTAAACATAATTGTTGTGGTATCATCAATCTGATTTACTCTGACAGCAGTCAAATGGGTACAGAGATTTTATATTCTGGCAAATGTACATGTTGAGCCCAGTACTTTACTTATGGTATTGCATTTTCTTGCTTCTTCTGGCCTGTTAAGGTCACTTTAGTCGATGCCGGTCAATATTAATTCAGTAGAGCTGCTCTGTGGCGGAGGGCTGAAGTCTGTACTGTGCAAATCCAATTTGCCATTTCCATTTCTATTGTGATTTTCTTTTATTGAAAAGAAATAAAGTTTAATGTTGACATGCGTAGGAAGGTAATTACAGGCATTCAGAGTGGTGGAATTTCCGTTCTCGTCTTTAAACACTACAGCAGTGTTTCGCAAACCCGGCTGGACAAATTTGTGGCCACCATCACACCGGTCGATGTTCAGCTTGCACTTCACAGTGTGGGTGAACAGGTAATCAAAAAGAGTCTGTATGGGGTCCTGGTACTAGCAGATGGTCTGCAGACTTTCACTGTGTGTGTGTTTGTGTCTGTTCAATATAAAGTAATGACATTTTTAAAGTAAATAGACTGTGCTGTCTGCACATGAGACTGGGACCCACGCTCTGGACAGATTGTTTTTAGTGTGCTACAACACTGAATTACGTTGACAAGGCGAAGACGGACCCACATTACAAAAGCAAAGAGGATCTTCGGTAGTGCTGGCTATCCACTTCATCCATCTTAAAAGGTTGACAGAGTCAGGTAAAGCATGAGATACTTAAAGACCTTTCAGGTAGTGATTGCTTTTTTTCAGTAAGGAGTAATCTAAAGAATTACTATTCCTGTTGTTACAACGCCGTTACCGTTACTAACAAGAAAATGCGGTGCGGTCGCGTTACTGTTTTTCAACAAACAGACGGTTGAAGCTGTGTTCAGCGTACTGCAGTTTATATCAGTTGCACGGAAGTAGCTGTAAGTAATCTGGGCGCTACAGCTTTAAGCAGCTGCGCGCGCTCCCGCGGGCGGCAATCACTGTCTGGTAGACGATCACTTTTTGGCACAACACCTGGGGCTAAAGGGGGCAAAACAATCGCATGAGTGCTGCTGTTTGTCTGAGGAAGAATAAAGTAGTCGTGGTAAGCCAATCACATGACCACTTTAAGATGACAAAGCAACAAGGTGAGAGAGAGAGAGAGATAAAGACAGCAGAAAAAGAGAGAGAGCGAGTTTTGAGATGTGAGAGATTTGTGATGTTCAGCGTGTTTGGAGTGTGTAGTTACTGTGATGTCTTGTAGTGTTGTGGATAGTTTTGTGTTGCGTCAGAACAATGAGGCGACTGCTGTCTGCAGGTAGAAACAGGAGTGATACATCTGCTGCTGTCAGACCTCCAGGTATCAGGCTGTGATGTTCTCCTTTATAGTGGACAGAAAT